CATTCTATCCCATCTCAGTTGTCACATGTTGATCAAGTTCTTCCTGTTCCTTTTCTTGAATTGTCTTTACCAGTTGCAGGTGACTCTCTCCCAGAGGACAGATCTCTTATCTCCATCCCTGCTGACCGCCCTTTTCTCACTTATCAGCGTCGTCAGAAAGTGCCTCCTACAGACTTGGCACTGGGTGACTCATCGTCTTCTCCAGTCATCTCTTCTCCTCCGGCTCCTTCACCAGAGGCTCTTCCTATTGCCCAAAGAAAAGGTATACGTACTACTCGTAACCCTTATCCTCTTTATACATTTTTAAGCTATGATCGTCTTCCTACTTCACATTACACCTTTGTTTCTAGTTTTTCTTTTGTTTCTATTCCTAAAACCACAGGTGAAGCACTTTCTCATCCAGGGTGGTGCCAAGCGATGCTTGATGAGATGACTGCTCTTCATTCCAATGGCACTTGGGATCTTGTTCCTGCTCCTTCAGGGAAGTCTATTGTTGGTTGTTGGTGGGTCTTCAATGTCAAGGTTGGACCTGATGGCCATATTGACCGTCTCAAGGCACGCTTAGTCGCCAAAGGTTTTACTCAGATATTCGGACTTGACTATGGTGCCATGTTCTCTCCTGTCGCTAAGATGGCGTCCGTCCGAATGTTTCTTGCCTTTGCTGCTGTTCGTCACTGGCCACTCCTTCAACTAGACATTAAAAATGCTTTTCTTCATGGTGATTTACAAGAAGAGGTTTCCATGGAGCAACCACCTGGGTTTGTTGCTCAGGGAGAGTCTGGAATGGTGTGCAGACTTCGTAAGTCCTTATATGGCCTCAAGCAGTCCCCTCGAGCTTGGTTAAGCCGTTTTAGTTCTGCTGTTCAGGCTTTTGGCTTAATCCGCAGTAAGGTCGATCACTCTGTGTTTTATAGTTTCACATCTCCTGACAAATGCATCTATCTGTTAGTCTATGTCGATGACATTATTCTCACTGGAAGTGATCAAGTTGGAATTCATCAGTTAACACAGTATTTGTTCAGTCAATTTCAAACAAAGGATCTTGATAAGAACCTTGGGATACACCACCCCAAAAGCTAGCTCAAAGGGTGAGAGTGACTAAAGCCTTATAAACTCCACATTAGTTGCTCATACAACCAATGTGAGACTTATATATCTTAACAATCTCTTTAGAAGTTTATACTGATGCCGATTATGCTGCATCCGTGACTGACCGTCGATCTACTACTAGTTATTGTATGTTCCTTTGTGGTAACTTAGTGACATGAAGGAATAAGAAACAGGATGTGGTTGCCAGGTCAAATGCAGAGGCTGAATTTCGAGCTATGGCTCAAAGTATTTGTGAATTATTGTGGTTGAAGATTATACTTGATGATCTCAAAATAAGATATGAAGGACCTATGAAGCTATTTTGTGATAATAAGTAAGCCATTTGTATAGCTCATAATCCAGTTCAACATGATAGGACTAAGCATATTGAGGTCGACCGTCATTTCATCAAAGAGAAACAGGATAGCGGGTTGATCGCCACTCCGTATATTCTTTCTGAGCGTCAATTAGCTGATATTCTGACGAAGGCACTTCCCTCAAATAAATTTCAAGAGCTTACTAGCAAGCTGTGAATGATAAATATTTATTCCTCAGCTTGAGAAGGAGTGTTGTAAATAATTATATTGTAATTATTTATTTTTATTTATTTTTCATTATAGAATATTCTTTGGGCTTAGCCCATTAGATTATTCAATCTCTGTAAATAAATCCTACTTTTCATGAATGTAAGCTTTCTAGTAGGGATGTCAGCTTTCATGAATCTGAGTCCTATTTTCAACACCCTCAGGTTTAGGGGGAGAACAGTATAGAACAGTGTTATTAAACCCGGACCGGCCCAGCCGGTTGGCTCAGAAACCTGCCCATCAACCGGTCCGGTTACAGTATTAGACCGCTTAAGTAGTCAACCCGGTATTGACCGGGTGACCCAGTGATAAACCGCGGTTGAACCGGTAAACCGGTTTTCTACTTAAACCGGTTTTTTTAAAATTAGTCACAAAATATTTTTTGCACCAGCTAGGATTCGAACCCAACATATTGGAGTGAGGAGCGCCTTTTCATACCACTAGGCCACCATCACTGGTTGAATAAAACTCACCATTTAATATATTTATTATTAACTATTAAGTTAAGAGAATTATTTCAAAAATTGCATCTGATGGGATTCAAACCCCTTCCATTGAGGTTATATAACATAGCAAATACCACTAAACTACATCAGATTATTGTTTGGATGGCACCATTTAAGATATTTATTATATAATTCAGTAAAAAATATAAATTTATATATATATATCCGGTTCATGCGGTTCAACCAGTGACCCACCGGTTGAACCATTGACCCAGTGACCCGGTACCTCGGCCGGGTCAATGACCGGTCCGGTTCTAATAACATTGGTATAGAAGCTTCATCAATTTTTTTTTAGTTTGAGTCTCCCTTTTTGTTACCTACATCTCTTACCCAAATTGAGAAGGAAGACTTAGTTGTTAAGGGTGAAAATTCATCTGATTCCTCATATGACATGCCTCCTATCAATCGACAGAAAATATGCAAAATTGGGACACCTGAACTAGTATATCAAAGAAAGAAACAACTCATATTGCTCCACCAGCAATTGCAATCGTCTAAACCGTTGGTAAGTACTGAATACACTACTTCTTTTGTTCCTGAGCCTGATATTAATTCTGATGACTTACGCATTGCTGTAAGGAAAAGGAAAAGGTCTTGTACCCAACACACTATTCTCATTTTGTCTCCTCTAAGAATCTCTCTATGCAGCATAGAAGTTTTATTACAACCCTTGACTCCATTTCAATCCCGCAATCAGTACATGAAGCAATAAAGGATTATAATTGGGTTCAAGCCATGCATGACGAGATGAATGTATTGGAGAAGAATAATACATGGGAAGTTTTTGACAGGCCAAATGGAAAATGGGCAATAGGGTGCAGATGGGTGTATACATATAATTCTGATGGGACTCTTGAGAGGTATAAGGTACACACAGACCTATGGCATTGATTACGAAGAAACATTTGCTCCAGAGGCCAAAATGAACACTGTAAGAGTTTTATTGTCTCTTGCTGCTCACTTTTATTGGGATTTGAAACAACTTGATGTGAAAAATAATGGCAAATTAGAAGAGGAGGTTTTCATGGAGATCCCACTAAGATTTAGCTCTACAAATGGAGATAATAAAGTTTGCAGTTGAAGAAGGCGTTATATGGCTTGAAGCAATCCCTGCGTGCTTGGTTTGGAAGATTTACAAAGTTATACTTTCATTAGGATACAAGCAAAGTCAAGGAGATCATACATTTTTCTTTAAACATTCTCAGGAAGATAAGACCATTATCCTTCTAGTTATATTGATGAAATGATTATAACAGGGGATGATATAGGTGAGAAATGTGCTCTGAAAAAAAGACTGACTACTGAATTTAAAGTTAAAGATCTTGGAAACCTGAGATATTTTCTTGGGATAGAAGTTGCTCATTCAAAACAAGACATTTTTATTTGTCAATGAAAGTATGTTCTTGACCTCCTTAAAGAAGGAGGAAAACTTGGGTGTAAACCTTCCAGTACTCCGATTGAGCAGAACCACAGACTAGGAAGTGAAAATGAGAGCCCTCCAGTTGACAAAGGACAGTATCAATGAATAGTGGGAAGATTGATATATCTAGCTCATACTAGACCTGGTCTAGCTTATGCAGTTAGTATTGTTAGTCAATTCATGCATGATCCGAGGGAGAAACACTTGCGAGCTGTGGACATGATTCTCCAATACCTGAAAGGCACACCAGGCATAGGACTATTGTTCCAGAGAGGAGAAAACCTATCCTTAGAAGTTTATACAGACACCGATTATGCTGGATCTGTGACTGACCGATGGTCTACTTCGGGCTATTGTTTGTTTCTCTGTGGAAAACTAATAACATGGAGAAGTAAAAAGGAAAATGCAGTTACTAAATCAAGTGCAGAAGTAGAATTTCGAGCCATGGCTCAAGATATCTATGAGTTATTGTGACTGAAAATCATTCTCGATGATCTCAAGGTGAGATATGAAGGATCTATGAAGTTACTTTGTGATAACCAGTTAGCTATCTATATAGCCCACAATCCAGTTCAACACGATCGAACAAAACATATTGAGATTGATTGCCACTTCATTAAACAGAAACTAGACAATGGACTGATCACTACTCCATATATTCCTTCTGGTTGTCAATTGGCTGATGTCTTAACTAAAGGTCTTCCTAATGATAGATTTCAAGAACTTACTAACAAGCTGGGAATGATAAATATCTATTTCTCAGCTTGAGGGGGAGTATTGTAAATATTAGATTTATTTATCTGATTATTATTTTTGTATCACTATTTTGTAATAATTAGAATACTCTAGAAGGTTATTTGGGCTTACCCATTAGGTCTTTTTAGTCTTTTTAAATAGAGAATTCTTGTACAATTATTATACAATTCAGTATTATACAATTCACTATTATACAACTCAATTATTGTTCATCGAAGATAGCATTTCCATGGAGGGCAGGAGGAGAAAGAGGTACTGTGTATGAAAAATAACTAAATTTTCACATGGAGCAAGGACTTAACAGTGTGAAAAGAACTTCCAGTAAATCAAAGTTAACACCCTGCCGTCAGTTGCCCAATTATTTTTATTTTCCGATCAAACATGGCCAAAAGATTAGTATCACGGAGAAGAACTCCACAACTGACTCCAGATATACAATAGGCAGTGAAATCACTAAAACATGCTATTTTTTCCGAAAATGCAAAACACAAGAAAGAATCAAAGAAAACAAAATTGAAGTAGAAATTAAAGGCTAGATAGTAAATTAACATTCAATTATCGTGGTTAAAACTGAGTGCATGGAACTGATTTCTATATGTAGATCTTATGTAATAATTACAAGGGATGGGAAACAGATAAACTAACCAAGTCAGTAACAAGGGCCTAAACTGGGAAGCAAATTCTCTTGGGATACATTCTCAGGAAAAATTACAATATACACAGTCCTGCCAAAGGCCTCCACAAGTTTTCAAAATTTTCTTTGGGGGTAGTTGTACATACTACACAAGTGAATCTAACTTCAAGCCACACAATGTAGCCTTTATTGTTGATCCACCAGCAACAGCACTGAAATTAAACAGGCAGTCATAATTCAATATTGCGAGAGAACCTTGACATACAAATTTTCTTTAGAATAAAAATTAACACAGGCATTATACCAAAAGATTTGACAAAATCACACTACAAGTATAACAACCTAAAATCTTTTATTATAAAAGAAATTAAGTACATGCATAGGCAGGTATAATCATCATTCATTCAAAATTAATTTCCTCTCAACATAAACAATTAAGTTATGTATTCCTATCAAATAAGCCACAGATAATGAATATGTCATGAAACAACTATCCCAAAAGGTAAAGCTTTAAAGTAAAGACATATGAATGGTACCTCGCCATACAAAATTCCTTTGGGCTTGAGGCATGGAAAATGCAAAACCTCAAGCCCATTTACCTTGTGCTGAAATTTAACTTGTTATTAGAAAAACAAGGGAAGCAAGGGTTGAACTCTAGACCACTTAGTGAACCAACCATCCCGAAAGCTCAAGCTATTACATAGACACGTAAATAGTTCTATATTAACATCAATAAAAATTATCTTACCCAGCAATTTTGCATATTAATTTGAAAAAAATTCCATCAACATCAAGTAGGCCTCCAACAATTAAGTGCAGGAATGTCTGGTCTACAGGGGGGCAACATCTGAGGAACACCATGTCCTGAAGAAGAAAATGATGATCTTGATCGGTAAATATAGTTTCTTAACAAGTGGAAGCTAAGGGGGAAACTGAGAACTGAGAAAAAGCAAAGAAGTGAAGAAAAGCAAAAACTACCTGACATTGGAGGAGCAAGTATGTTAACAGGGTTTGCATGCAGAAAACCTGCATTGCTTATTGGTGGTCTTTCAAGAGGTGGCCGGAAATATCCTGTCATCACCGTCATTACAACAATATTTTTGGACATTCAGATTTACCTCACAAACAACACGAAATACCACTAACAACAAGGTGATTACTAAGAGCTTTGATATTTCACAAAATAGTAAAATAAAAAATTATGTAGATGGATGAAAGCCTTCATAAAAAGCTAACGACAAGCTTCAGGAATAAGAGATATATGTATAATAAACAGCATAAAACATCAATCATATTTTACTGCAATAAACATATGGAATGGTAAGCTAAACAGATTCACATACCTTCCTGCCTAAAGGATGGACCAGGGCATGAAGGATTTCCCCCTCGCCATAAACCCTGTTGATTGTTTGTTATAAATTCATTTGATGACATCCTCCATTGTTCATTAGCAACAAATGGCCTCTGGCCATCTGGAAGGGATGGCAATGAGAAGGGAGGATGGAAAGAATGTGGACGATGCTGCTGAACTGTAGGCTTTGGATATGAATACTGATTGGGTGGATTTTGGGGTGGGGCAGGATGCATGTGTCTTGGAGCAAATGGAGGGTTGCCCTGCTGAAATTGCTGGTTAGATTGGGGAACTTGAGAATTTAGATACATATCATTCTGTCCATATTCTAACGGCCTTGGAGGGTTAAAACCAGAAGGTTCCTGAGAGCTGCAGCCTGCCATTGGAGGAAAGCAAGGAGATGGCTGTGACAATATATCATTTTTGACAACTGCACTATTGTGATCTCCATTAAAAGAATTTCCAGCCATTTGAACTATTTGGTTCCCCTGTATAGACGACTCCATTTGTCAAAACCAGCAATATAACAAATCTAAAACAAACCAGTGACATTCAAAAGCAACATCTTACACTAGTTGTGCCACTATAGTCATGAGGTACAATCTGTGGATACCCAGACAGCGGTGATGACTGATGTGATGATTGAGGTGGCACTAGTGCCTGGGAGAAAAGTGAAGGCTGAGCTGGTCGAGATGATTGAGAAATCAATGATGGTGGAGGGCCTGGGGGTGGCAAAGGAAGAGGTGGGGGTTGCAACACTAGGGGAGGTGGGGCTGGGGGAGGAGATGGAGATAAAAGAGGAGGTAGTGGTGGAGGTGAAGAAGGCAAAGGTGGGGGAGGAGGGGGTGAATCTAGTGGCAATGGAGGAGAACCCTCAAGAATACCAGGTATTTCTGCAGAAATGTTCGAAGCTGGAGCCAAAATCATATCTGAGCCCCGAAGTTGAAAATCCACTTCAGAAGAACTGTTCAAAAGTACAGGCTTTTCATCCTTTGGGTGACCTGAAACATCTTCCATTTCCAGCTCACCATCCACATCCTCCAAGATACAATGGCGCTTGTCATTTGGGGTAACTGTAGAAGTTTCTGAATCCACAAGAGTGTGATTGGTATCTGCTGGAGATGCATTACTAGGAAAATCATCTTCATCTTCTTCAAACACATGAGAAGATAAAAAGCCAGGCAGCTGAAATGTAGCATTACTGATACACAAAATCCAGATATATAGCATGAATCAGATTCAGAAAAAGACTTTGGAAACAGGTAAAAAAGGCAATAGAATAGAAAACAACAATTAGACAGTTGTTCTTCATAAAATGAACAGTAAATCTTCATTTTCACGCTAAAAAAAATTGGAAAATGCAACCCAGCACAACAATGAAAAATAATTTCCATCTACAATTTCTTTTTCCCTACAATATGACTGAATCATAGTCCCACTTAACATGCACACATGTGCATGTCAATCTTTGATGTTATTTATTTTCTCCCATTTTATTTTTTAAAATATTTCATTAAACTTAATTCTAAAGAGGAACCAAACGTACGTAACATGAGAGTGTAATATGTTAACTTATGTCAAAAAGTCAGAAGCACATGTTTTCCGGTGCTCTTTTTGCGAAAATAGGGTTTCCAAGGAGGGTAGTCTCCTTTCTATACTAACCAGTAACCACTCTCCATTAAACCTTGACTAACAAGGGTAAAGGAAAGGGCAGTCCTTGTGCGCAACATTAGCTTGCATATCTGCAAAGAGGTTGTTTCTCGGATTCAAACCTATAACCTCTCAGTCACAAAGGATAAGTTTTACTACTGCCCCAGACTCACCCTCTTAGTCTCCTTTCTATAGTAGTATAGATTTAAGAAGAAATCAACTTTTATTTCCCACGTTTTCATTTTAAGAGAGGAACTATACAAATACTTATATTAGATCATTAAGAGATACAAGTGACCAATTCATAAGAGCCATGTCATTAGTTTAGGAATCCATCTTCCTATATGTTCTCCATCAATTTTCCCATTCTCTTCAAGTTCCAATATGCAAAAGCAATGAAAAGCAGGTCACATAGTATTTGCCAGAAGCTTCAAAATGGTAGAAATTGCAACAATGCAGGCACTTAAATATGAAAATAATATGTTGTGTATTAATCTGATACAAAGAGTTACAATATATAGAGACCCTAATGGGCTTAAGTAAGAAGCTCAGAACTACTCTAAAAGAATATTTAAAGATAGGAAGTAATCTAATCATATCTAATCATATCTTAATCATATCTATTCCAACACTCCCCCTCAAGCTGGTGCGTATATATTGTGAGCACCAAGCTTGCTACAAATATATTCAAGCCGAGGACCTCTAAGAGCTTTAGTGAAGACATCCGCTAGTTGATCATTAGAGTTGACAAAAACTGTCTTGAATTCTCCTGACTGAATCCTTTCTCGAATGAAGTGACAATCAATCTCTATATGTTTGGTTCTCTCATGAAATACAGAATTAGAAGATATATGTAGTGCAGCTTGATTATCACAAATGAGTGTCATGGGTTGTTTTTGTTCACAAAGATGAAGTTCCTGAATCAACTGCTTTAACCAGATTAACTCACATGTAGTAATTTCCATTGCACGATACTTCTGCACTAGATCGAGCAACAACAGGCTGTTTCTTGCTCTTCCAAGAAATTAAGTTTCCTCCAAAGAAGACACAATAGCCAGAAGTAGAGTGCTTGTCTGAAGGTGATCCTGCCCAACCAGCATCTGAATAACCACAAATTTCTGTATTTCCCTGATCTGAATACAACAAACCTTTTCCTGGTGCTCCTTTGATGTACCGGAGGATCCTCACAGCAGCATCCCAATGAGAATCACAAGGGGAATCAAAGAACTGACTAGCCGTACTAACGGCGAATGAAATGTCTGGCCTATTCACAGTAAGATAATTGAGCTTCCCAATTAACCTCTGATAATGACCTGGATCAGATAACGGCTCCCCATGTCCGATAAATAACTTGACATTGGGATCCATGGGTGTATCAATTGGTTTACACCCTAAAATACCAGTCTCTTCTAGGATATCCAAGGAATACTTCCTTTGACAGATAGGAATGCCCTGTCTAGATTGTGCTACCTCAATTCCCAAGAAGTAACGCAGCTTCCCGAGGTCCTTTGTTTGAAATTGACTGAATAAATACTGTTTTAACTGACGAATTCCAGCTTGATCACTCCCGGTGAGAATGAAGTCATCAACATAGACTAACAAATAGATGCACTTATCAGGAGATGTGATCCTATAAAATACAGAATTGTCAACTTTACTGCGAATTAAACCAAACGCCTGAACAGCAAAACTGGAGCGACTGAACCATGCACGAGGAGACTGCTTAAGACCATATAAGGATTTGCGAAGACGACACACCTTCCTAAACTCCCCCTGAGCAACAAAACCAGGTGGTTGCTCCATATAAACTTCTTGTAAATCACCATGAAGAAAGGTATTTTTGATGTCAAGTTGAAGGAGTGGCCAGTGACGAACAGCAGCAAAAGCAAGAAATAGGCGAACTGACGCCATCTTAGCGATTGGAGAGAATGTATCGCTATAATCAAGGCTGACGATTTGAGTAAAACCCTTTGCAATTAGGCGTGCCTTGAGTCGATCAACATGACCATCAGGTCCAACTTTCACAGTAAAAACCCAGCGACAACCAACTATAGACTTCTCTGGAGGAGCAGAAACAAGGTCCCAAGTGCCATTGGAATGAAGTGCAGTCATCTCATCAAGCATCGCTTGGCACCACCCTGGATGGGAAAGTGCTTCACCTGTGGTCTTAGGAATAGAAACAGAAGAAAGACTAGAAACAAAGGTGAAATGAGGTGAAGAAAGACGGTCATAGCTCAAAAAGGTATAAAGAGGATAAGGGTTACGAGTAGTACGTGTACCTTTTCTTTGAGCAATGGGAAGAGCCTCTGGTGAAGGAGCCGGAGGGGAAGAATCAACAGCAGTGGGTGATGAGTCAGCAAGAGTCGAGTCGACAGGAGGCACAGTTTTGCGACGCTGATAGGTGAGAAGTGGACGGTCCTCAGGTATAGAAGCAATAGGTAGCTCATCTGGAATAGAAGCACCTGCAGCTGGCAAAGACAAGTCAAGAGAAGGAACAGGAAGAACATGATCAACCTGTGACAATTGAGATGGGATAGAATTAAAGAGTTGTTGATCAAGAAAAGTGACATCAGCGGAAACAAAATAACGCTTAAGATCGGGAGAATAACAACGATAACCCTTTTGAAGACGAGAATAACCAAGAAAAATACATTTAAAGGCTTTGGATGTTAACTTGTCCTTACCAGGAGTGAGGTCATGAACAAAACAGGTACAACCAAAGACATGTGGGGATAGAGGATAGAGAGGAACATCTGGAAGCAATAAGTTATAAGGAATGTCATTATTAAGCACAGATGAAGGCATACGGTTGATGAGAAACCAAGAGGCAAGGACTGCATCGGCCAAGAAGTGAAGAGGAACATGCATGTGAATAAGAAGAGTTCGTGTAGTCTCAATGAGATGTCTATTCTTACGTTCAGCTACTCCATTTTGTTGTGGAGTGTGAGGACAAGTAGTTTGGTGTAAAGTACCCTGTGTGGCTAAGAAATTAGAAAAGTCAACAGAAACATATTCCTTAGCATTATCACTACGTAAAATACGAATAGAAGCACCAAATTGAGTATGAATTTCAGCAGAAAATTTTTGATAAATAGAAAATAACTCAGAACGGTTTTTCATTAAATAAATCCAAGTACAACGTGAAAAATCATCAATAAAGGTAACAAAATACCGAAAACCTAAAACAGACACTACGACTAGTACCCCAAATATCTGAATGAATAATTGAAAAAGGAGCATCAGCTCGTTTATTGACTCGATTAACAATGAGGAGCGTATGTGCTTTCCTTGCTGACATGACTGACAATCTAAAGTCTGAAGACCGGATAAAAGAGGAACCATCTTCTGTAATTTTGAAACACTAGGATGCCCGAGGCGACTGTGGATGAGTTGTGAAGATTATGTGAGAGAACAGGCAACGGAAGGACTCAGCACAACCATGTAGAACAGACCCCGTGACTCACGGCCCACTCCAATCATCTTCCCCGTACCCGGATCCTGCACAGGAACAGAATGGTTTGAGAAGGTGACAATACAGTTAAGAGAATTGATCAATTTACTAACAGATATTAAATTATAAGGGATGTTAAGAATGTAATAGACAGATGTCAAGGTCAATGAGGAGGTTGGACAGATTTGTCCAATCCCATGAACAGGGGCCTTAGTGCCATCAGCAAGAGTAAAAGAGGGTAAATTATCAGAATATGTAAGGGATAAAAAGAGTTCCTTATTACCACAGAGGTGATCAGTAGCACCTGAGTCAAATATACAAGGACCAAGTGATGCAGAATGAGAAACACAAGCAACGGGATTACCAATTGTAAAGAACCTTGGGATACACCACCCCAAAAGCTAGCTCTAAGGGAGGGAGTGCCCAAGACCTTATAAACTCCACATTAGTTGCACATACAACCAATGTGGGACTATATATCTCAACACGCCCCCTCACACGAGAGACCATTGGGCTTGAAGAGTGGACAATGCAACAGGCTCAGCCTACCTGTGCTAAGAAACGCCACAAGAGAAAGTAGGGGGCGGCGAGGCTCGATACCATGTTAAGAACCTTGAGGTCACCACCCCAAAAGCTAGCTCAAAGGGTGGGAGTGCCCAAGACCTTATAAACTCCACATTAGTTGCACATACAACCAATGTGAGACTATATATCTCAACACCAATTTCTGAAGCAGAGGCATGAGACTGAGGAAAGACCTTCCTGAGAAAGATCTGGAGTGCTGCATAGTCTTCAGAGGAGAGAGAGACTGTACCATTTGAAGCAGTATCCGATTGAGCTATATTAGCAGCATGAGAAGGTCGCAGGTGAGGATACTTTGTGTAGCAGCGTTCCTCATAATGACCAAGTTGCTGACAATAGTGACAACGAGGTCGCTGACCACGTCCTCCTGGGCCACGTCCTCCCTGGCCTCTGCCATGACCACGTCCACCTCCAATGTTCCCGCGAAAGTCAGTACGAGAAACTAGAGTAGTGGAATCAACAACAGCAGATGATGCAGGAGCAGATTTCTTATTAAGATTCAGAAGACGCTGATACGTCACTGATAGATCAGGATCCCCACTAGTCAAGATAGTATCCCGGACATTATCATATTCTTCAGGGAGACCAGAAAATGTGTCAACCATAAAGAGACGTTCCACTTGTTTCCGATATGCAGAAGCATCAGTAGGGTAGGGCAACATATCCAAATATGCCTGCATCAAAGATCGACTTTTGCCAACATATGTCTCCATCTGAATGTCAGATGATTTGCGCAGATCCATAAACTGAGACATGATGAAATAGAGCTGCTAAACATCATTAGTGTAGAGGTGTTTTGCTTCCTCCCACACTTCAGTGCAAGTTTGAAAAGAGTAGAAGATGTCCAAGACGACTTAATCAATGGACTGCCAAAGGATACTCAGAAGCTGGTTGTCAATCTTTTCCCAATCAGATTTTTCCTCCTTAGGAACATCAGTAGATTTAGTCAAGAGATGGTTCCCATGTCCCTGTCCAAAGAACCAAACTCGAACAGAACCCTTCAACTTTGAAGAGGTAATGGGCCCAACATTGGTGGAGATGATATTAAGAGAACTTTTGACAGGAGGAGAGGGAGAACTGACCTCCGAATGAACAGGAGAAGTTGCTGCCATTATATTAAATCACAAAGGTATAAACCGAGTAAATAGGAACGAACCTGATCACCGATCAAGAAGAGATGCGCACAAAAAGTCAGACCCACAGAGAACCAACCACAGATCTGGAAAGAGGAGAAGAAGGCGAGCCTTTCTGTCCAAGACCGACCGGAAAAAGATGCCGAAACAGTGCACACACGTCGGCAGAAGGTGGCGCGTGAGGCCCACGCGCAGAGGAGATGGGCGGCGCGTGACGGCTTCGATGGTGGTCGGACTTCCACAGACTTTGGTCGTCGGGAGGAGACGGTTCTGATCACGTGAGGTCTAGACTGAAAACTCGCCGGAAAACTCCTCCGGCAGCTTGAACAGTGACGGATGGTGGTTCCGGTGGCCGTCAAAGGTGCTGACGCGTTCGGAGATTACTCAGAAGGGGCTTACAGCCCTTGATGGCTTGCCGGAAGGACGCATGGCAAAGAAAAGATGACTCCTAAGCAGTGGGCTTAGGTTTTAAAGCGAAAACAAGGTTTTAAGCAGAAGCGGGTCCCCAGAACAAAAGAGCTCTGGTACCAACTTAAATATGAAAATAATATGTTGTGTATTAATCTGATACAAAGAGTTACAATATATAGAGACCCTAATGGGCTTAAGTAAGAAGCCTATAACTAATCTAAAAGAATATTTACAGATAGGAAGTAATCTAATCATATCTAATCATATATAATCATATCTATTCTAACACAAATAGAAAAAAATTTAACTTTGTCAAGCCAGAACACTTTTTCTATAGCTGGGTTTTCTAACCTTTAGTATTTGACAATCACTAAGAAAATGAAAAAATGCATTTTGATAAGATCATTTTTCAGTCAAACTAGGTCAAAAGAGAAAATCCTATACAATTTTTTTGTTTTTCTGAAATAGTTTTTCAACAAAATATGATTTGAAACCAATTTAAATTTGTACAGATTATCGAAGCTAGTTTTGACATAAAATTCTTAACCAGGCATCAAATTTGTTAAACTTCCCGCCACTTATGTTAGTGTATTGACATAACTTTTTACCAAGATGATTGATCCATTTCTTTCTAGAGTACTTTTATGATTTACTAATTCTTATTTCAAACTATCTTCTTTTTGTTTTCACCCTCAACTGTCAAGCTTATTTGTAACACAAAAATTCCAAAGTGTTTTCTCGTTTAAGGATTCATCATTAACTATCTTTTTTGGGTTAAAGATGGACTGATTGTATAACAGACCAGTGACTCTTCAAAGGAAAAAATATATAATAATGAAAACCGACATAACAAAAAAACCAAGCTTTCACTCCAAAAAATTAATGAAACAAATAAACGTCACACCTTCCATACTCATCAACAAGCATGCCCTCCATTTCTCTAATTGGGTCATCCACAGACCGTTCCTCCCTAGAAGGACGCCTGAGAGAAAAGCTAGTTGTCACATCATCATTTGAAACTCCAATATCATCCATGTAACGGCGAAGAACTGATTCAGGAAAAATTTTCCTATCAAGCCACAGCCTTAAAACCTGCAATCCATACAACATTTACCAAAATAAATAAATAAATAAATAATAAAAAAAAAATATGACATCCCTCTTGCACACAGCATACCCACTTCTAATAAAGTGGCATCATAAACTTTACTAAAGAACCTTGGGATACACCACCCCAAAAGCTAGCTCAAAAGGTGGGAGTGCCCAAGGCCTTATAAACTCCACATTAGTTGCACATACAACCAATGTGGGACTATATATCTCAACACTAAGCAAAATTACCTTTACTAGAAAAGAAAATTTGTATATTATTGAATTCTATAATATTTGTACAAGAGTTCTCTATTTAAAGAGACTAAAAAACCTAATGGGCTAAGCCCAAATACACTTATAGAGTATTCTAACTATTACAAAATGATAATAAAATAATTCTAATATTTACAATACTCCCCCTCAAGCTGAGGAATGGATATTTATTATTCCCAACTTAGTAGTAAGTTCTTGAAATCTATCATTAGGAAGACCCTTAGTTAAGACATCAGCCAATTGACGACCAGAAGGAATATATGGAGTAGTGATCAGTCCACTGTCTAATTTCTCTTTAATGAAATGGCGATCAATCTCAATATGTTTGGTTCGATCGTGTTGAACTAGATTGTGGGCTATACAGATAGCTGACTTGTTATCACAAAGTAACTTCATAGATCCTTCATATCTCACCTTGAGATCATCGAGAATAATTTTCAGCCACTCTTCTTTAATTTCTTTTTTTTAGAATTAGAGAATAAGTTCGAAAAGATAAAAAATAAAAACGGATAAGGCCTCCGTGAAACTGGGAATTTTGTCCAGGCTTCAATGGAATTTCATTAATAATTTCGATTATGGAATTATTAATGAAACTCTATTTCTATAAATAATAGAGTGAGGCCAGAAATGGAGTTGGAATGGAGACAACAATATCATACAAGATACTTAAACTAAACCTTATAATAATGTACTGCGATTCGAAATGTAGTTTGAAATCATTGTATTACTAAATTCTTACTGTACTGTAATAAATCTTAAATGAATTCGAACAAAGTCTTTCCTACATAATTGGATTTCGAATTATCAACTTCCACTTTTTTTGTTCCTTTCTTCTTCTATTAAAATCCGAAAATCGAAGAGTTAAGTGAATCAAAAACCCAAAGGAGGTTCATGGCCAAGAAGGGTAAAGATATCCGAATAACTGTTATTTTGGAATGTAGCGGTTGTGATAAAAAGGATGTGAATAAGGAATCAAAGGGTATTTCAAGATACATTACTCAAAAGAATCGACACAATACGCCCAGTCGATTGGAATTGAAAAAATTCTGCCCCTGCTGTTGCAAACATATGATTCACGCTGAGATAAAGAAATAGAGAAAATGGATTACTTGTTTGTCACCCTTCCCAGGAACGTGAAAAATGATCTATTTTTAATATATATCTTCTATATATGTATATGTCAGATTCTATTTCTATTATAGAAAAAAATCTTCTAGAAAATAGATTTCATTGGATAACAACCTATATTTTATTCATATGGTATTGTGTTCAGTACTTACCAGCAGTTCAGGCGATTGCAGTTCCTAGTAGAGCAGTGTGGGTTGTTTCTTCCTTTGGTACAATAGTTCGGGTGTCCCAACTTTGCATACTTTCTGTCTATCAATAGGAGGCATGTCACATGAGGAATCAGATGAATTTTCAGCATCAACAATTAAGTCTTCCTTCTCATTGTCATGTAGTGTGACTACTGGAGTAGAAGATGTAGGTAACAGAAAGGGAGACTCGTACTCGAAGAAAATGGATGAAGCTTCTATACTATTCTCCCCCGGAAGCTGAGGGTGTAGAAAGTAAGACTCAGATTCATGGAAGCTAACATCCATAGAAGCTAACATCTATAGATCAAAGAATTTATGACTTGGAGGGTGGTAACATTTGTATCTTTTCTTGTTGGAAACATAACCAAGGAAGACACACTTAAGGGCTCTAGGCTCTAATTTACTCCGATGTTGTTTATGGATATGGACGAAAGCAACACATCCAAAGACACGGGACTGGAGACTTTGAATAATTAGAATAGAAGGAAAAAAATAGGTCATGAGATCAACAGGACTTACATGGCCAAAGACTCTGGAAGGCAGGCGGTTGATCAAATGGGGGCGGCGAGGATCGAACCCGGGTTACCGAGGCTTTGATACCACGTAAAGAACCAATTCAACCCAAAAGCTTAAGCTATTAAATGAAGGCCCACCAATAATTTATATACTTCTCTAACACGCCCCCTCACATGAGAGTCCACTGCGTATGATGAGTGAATAATGCACAGGCTCACGTACCTGTGCTAAGAAATTCCACAAGTAAAAGTAGGGGGTGATGAGAATCGCCCTCGTGATACCGAGGCTTTGATACCACGTAAAGAACTAATTCAACCCAAAAGCTTAAGCTATTGGGTGAGGACTCTTTTAATGGTTTATATTATTCTTTAACATATGTCATGATATATTTCTTTATTTTAAAAGTCTCCTATTTAGCATAGACAGGGGTTATTACTATGTCTTTTGTATCACATCATATCACGTCATTGTAGAATTTTATTCCATCTTTATTCACTTTTCTCCATCTATAATTAAATCCCCATAATTTCAATAGTTACTAACAAAATTAGTAAGTAGCAACTTACAACAGTAGTGTACAATAGTATTATATATATAACACTCTAATGGCGTTTTTTAACCCATTAGCTAACTTCACCTAGTGGAAAAATGTTCTGTTATAGTTGTTGTACATTTTCTAATTGCAAGAGGTTTCTTCCTACAAAGCCCTTTTGGAAATCTAAGACTAACTCTAAGATCAAGTCTTTCATCTCAAAGAAGATGCTTTCTTTTGGAACAACTTGATCATGAATCTAGTTTCCCGCGCCTTCAATTTCAAGCTGCTACTCTTGGTTTGTTTATAATGTTTTGGAAGAAACAAGGCAAAAATTTAGTGGCAGTGTGTGCTTTTGGCCTATTTCAAAAGAGCAAATTGCAAACATTTTTAAAAGCCTCTCATTACCTCTAGTTTCACATAGAGATAGGGTTGTGTTTATGGCTTCTATCTAGTGCATTCATGGATTTTTCAAGGTAATTACCATTATTGATCTGCAGAGAGATCAAGTACCCTAGTTGCTTTCTAGATTGTTTCGTGTTCCCATGTGTTCTATTCTTTTCTGTTTTGAATTTTGCCTATCTTCCCCACCCCACCCTGCGGGAGTGTATTTCACTTATTTTCTCTCAAATAATTTTTTTTAATTAAAAAAAAGAAAGAGATGACCTTGAGACACTGGCGACGATTTTCACGAGCACTAGCTCCAGGGGGAGCAGCAGCAGCAAGAAGACGGGGCAACCCTCCTTGAACTATAGGGATGTAAGAGGCTCCTACAATGCCTGAAAAATACCTCTACAATTAGAATTGAAGATGCAGTGAAGAAAACACTACCTAAGACTTGCAAGTTTGGGCAGAGAAGAGACAGTCAGAGAGAGAAACAGGCACATCCATAAAATATGCTACTAAGCAGCATCCTAAGAAGTACATCTCCCACCTTTTTGATTATGTGAGCACTGAGTGATGGAATCAACGAGAAAGAACAAATCCACTTTACGATGAAAACTAGTTTCGTTTTCCAGCTTTCGGATAAGAAGTTCAACAACCTGAATATAAGGACTTCGATGTAAGTCCACTACAGGAAACTAACAATCAAACTAATGTAACTGCAAAAAATAATTGCAGAAGTCCAACATCGTAGAAAGTATATTCACATTACAAAAAATCTCTAAATATAAACAAAACAAAATGCATTGTCATATTCTATAAGCAAGAATTGAACACAATAAGCACACAGGCGAACTAATAGTTGCATTAAGAAAAAACTACACCTTATGCCATATTACTAACACAATGTTCAAAAACCATCATTTTCAAAAAAATCTTAAGGCTGAGCATTCTTTATAAGCTGAGCTTACCCTTTCACCTATAAGTGACAATGCTGGTTTAGGGGATACCAACTGATTTCACACTTCCAACACAACTCATCAGATTATTACATATAAATCACATCAAATAAGTATTCCAATGGAACTAATATTAAGACAGTATTTCTGTATATTATAATAGTTTTTGAATTATTTTCCAAGGCAATTTCTTACTCACATACTTGATGGAGAGAATGAGGAAGAAGTCATTATCTGATTCATAATTTTAGAAATAGCAATGATATGATAAAGCATACCTCATTAGCAATGCCATACTTAGCACAATCAATGGCAAGACGTGTTGCACGCCCAATACTTTCCTTGGTCCTTGTTAAAGTCTCAATCATTCCTTCAAAGGCATCACGAGCAACAGCAGCCTCAGTACCACCACTTAAAGAGCCCCCTGCAGCCCTTTGCACTGAACCAACTCTTTTTTCCTCATTTTCTTCAGCATCAACTTGATTTTGAGGAGTGGAGTGATGCCCACTGATTGATGGAGAAGCCAATGTTGGGTGCTCAAAAACTCCCAGCAGATCTGCCTGGCAAAAATTGCTTGAGACAGACAGAAAAGGCTGAAATGTAGAGGGGCTAGGAGTTCCCCCTTGAGCATTGTAAAGGACAAGAGGTTGACACAGAGATTGAGCTACTAGTCTCCTTTTCGCCTGGGCAGCCGCAATTAGATGCTTCATAGTATTAGCAGTTTCCGGAGTCCTAGAACCAGTATATAGACTACTTTGTTCTTCCATGACCACCTCTGATCTGTAATAATATAAGCAAGTTAAAGAAAAAGGGGGGGTGGTGGACAATCAGTTAAGAATTCCAAAAGAATAAAAGATAGAAACAAAAAGAATCAAAAGTATATGGCACCTATAAACATGAAAAGCATCAAGCTCCTTTAAATTTTCTGTTGTTGCAAGAACTTCAGCGGCCTGTGGTAATGTCTTTGGAGTAGTTTTAGAATTTTCCACTGAAGATGCAGGCTTCTTTTTATGAGTAGCAACCTGACTCTGGGAAGAGCTGATGGTATTTAAACTGTTTGAAGACCCATGATTAGTCTTCTTTTGAGTAGCATTACTGGAAATTTTAAGCAAAGGTTTGGAAGATTTATGTCGCTCGGGATTTTGCATTGCTGTAGGTACTGATTGAGGTGAATCAACTGGAGAGCTAGAACTTAATTTTTCCACCTTGGAAGGAAACTGTTTCGAATCTAATTTCCCGGGACTGTGAGATAAATGGACAGGGATAGCTTCATCAGCCTTCTCTTTTTGAGGATGGCCTGTTGGCAAAGTATCATTATGTAATTCAGAAATGGGTTCGTTTCTATTACCCAGATGAGCAACATCGACATTTTCTAGTAATGCATCCTTACTCTTCATAACCTCTGAAACAAAAGGTGATTTAATATTTTTAGCAGGTCCTCCATGAACAGGAGTCTTGGGTTCATCATCATCATAATCAAAAAGGCAAACAGCTTTACGTTTCCTCTGTACTTGTTTAACCATAAGATTATTTGCATCACCTTTCAGTCTAAGAGAACTCATTTCTGTATTTTCACTAGAAGCAAGGTTAGCAGAATCATGCATAGCTTGTTGGACTTGGGTATGATCTTTAGTCTCATGCAATACTTCATGAGCAGAATCATCAGAACCTACAACACTGATCTGACCCCTTGATTGCAAACACTTATCTGTTTTCAAACATGATGTAGATTTTTTCAACTCTATTTTTTGAAAAGCTTTGTCATCAACAGGAGAGCTAGGCAAAGTACCCTTCACATCATCCAAGAGAGATTTTAAAGTTTTATTGTCTTTGGTATCCGTACACTTCAACTTCTTGGTAGCATGTAAAGTTTCATTTGTTCCCAAATTATGCTTTCCATGAACTTGGGTCTTGTTTTGCTTAAAAGAATATTTTGTATGAGCCTCCTCAGAAACAACAAAGAACTCCTGCAACTCATTTTTTAACTTAAGACTTGTTTTAACTTTTAGCAAGTTCTTATGCTTGTTTCCACTGTTAATGTCAGAGTCTGCTTTAAGAGCATCGGGAGAATCTGATTTAATAGAAAATGTATTTTCCCCTTTTTTCCCACCTTTCAATGTCTCTCCAGACCTGGAAATATCAGCACAACCTGCAGAATTTTCATCCTTCAAAAATGCTCTATTGGATCTACCACTTGCTTTTCTATCATCTGCAGTTCTGCTTCTCCTTCTTGAGCCAGTAACAAGTTTTCTTGGCTTGTTACCATTTGTAAAAACACTCTGTACATTATCAGCTAGCTTGAAGTCATTACTATTGCACACATCCTTACAATCAGAAACTTCCACTTTCAGACATGATCGATCCTTAAGACCAGGTTTGCTAGTATGCTTATTTAGTTCTGCACCAATGGATGATTTACTTTTGATCACAAGTGATGAAACCGGAGATGAACTGTCAATTGGATGGCCAGATATAGAAGGCTTTTCATCTTGGTTATTACTTTCTCCACATCTCTGTGCACAGTGCTCCAAATTAGAGCAAACATCTCCCGCAAAGGTGTTTGCTTTTTCTACATTTAATGCCACAGCATCATTGGCATCCATTACATGACCCACTACCCCATCTACAGAAGGAGCCTCTGTACCAATACGTGAATCATCAGTGCCATCTCCCAAACCACTAACTTTCTGTTTCTCTAACTCATCAAATTCGGCGCATATTTCCTTCACAGCCTGGGTAAAGTACTTTGTCTTGCCTTGACACCGAGCAGACAACTTAATTTTAGCCTCATTGGTGAACACCTGAATATCGGCAGGGGCAACAAAAGCTCTGTAAAGGAAAAGAACATAACATAGGTGCAATGTAAGAAGATAAAAAGCAAGACAATCAATCTAATGAACAATAAACAGTACGGTACAAAGTGGAAAGCATCAAGCATCAGAGAAATCACAAAATCAGATTGCTCAGGTGTTTGGATAAAGGTCATCAAATTACTTGGAACTTAATTATATGACTCTCATCATAGTTGTCAGCTGAAGTCTTAAATTTTGAGTAGCAGAAAGGGGCAGGGGTCCTCAAATTTTCTAAAATTGAGAGTCACATCAATTGTTGACAGAAAATAACTCTTAAGAAACATGCTCAAAAGCACTCTTCAACTTTTAAACCGAAGAAAATGATGGTGGCAAAGTGGGTGACCCGCCCTGCCCCGCCAACCCGTCTATATATTAAAACAGTGAATGTACTGATATTTTCTTCTCCAGTTTCCCTCTCTCCAAACACTCCATACAATGCCAAAAAGGAAAGTGAGAGAGAAATCAAGGAAAGGATAAATTCACTACAAAATTAAGTCACAGGAGTAGGTATTTTTAGCTTTGTGGTAACTTCACAAACTATATGATAACATGGAACTAACGTTTCTGCAGCTTTTCTCTGAAACAGATTTCTAGCCAACCACCAACCAACGCAAGCTTCCCTCCTGTTTTTGGCTTCTCAAGACAAAGAGGAATGGCCTGAATTTCTACATTGAACGAAATGAATGAATAAAGAACCCAAATTTTCTTCAGACGCAAACCCTATTTAATGGATTAGGAAGGAAATTATAAGATAAAAAACAGTCACAGTAGTTCAACAACTAAATTTGCATTTAGAAAAGAAAAAAAAAATAATTCTCCACAAGTGCCTTCAGATCTTAAACAAAAACCAAAACTAAAGTAATCCAAACATAAGAATTAGCATCAGGAAGAAACCCAAAAATGCTTTGCTCCATTGTAGAGTAGCATTCTTGAATTCAACTCAAAGAACCCTGATCCACAAACAAAATTAGGATTGCCACTGTGGGTAACCAGAGAGAGAAAAAAGAGGTTTTTTAATAAGTCATCACCTGAAAGGAAGCATGGGACTAATGAAAGAACTCAGAAGCAGGTATTAGTATCAAAGCTGAAACAGAGAGGCCTATGTGATGCACTGCACAATGCTGGTGTGGAAATCCGCCATGGCGGCACTGGCAGGCACATGGTGGTGTGGGACTGCGGGTTTGGGTGTGACCATACGAGGATTTTGGACAAAAGAAAGAACTGGATGGGTGGGGGTTAGGTGTGGTGTGGGTTCATAAATCGTAATGTGTAATGTATTATTAAAAAAAAAAATAGATCAACTCGTCCCGCAGCAGTTTCAACCCATTTTGACCTGCACTTATGTGGGCAGGTTAAAATGGGTTGGCGGATGTACCAAAAAAAAAAAAAAAAAAAGGGTTGGCGGGTTGTGACAAAATGAAAATGAAAGAGAAACTGCAATTTTGAATACTTCAAAAAAATTAAAGTCCAGTCCAGATCTTGAATCATTGCCCCCACTGCCCACCCATACGACCGACCTCACTGTTAGACTGGTTTCCAGTTTTTCCAGTTGAACCAGCCAATTTGGAGTGGTTTATAAAAGCATCAACAGTCAAACCATCTCCTCATCCCCACCCTCAAGGGAAATAACAGAAGATCCTCCCATATATCATCCATCAGGAAAAAAAATGATAATAATGACAGAATTTATGCTATTTATTAAAAAAAAATGAGGGAATACTCCACAAGATACCAAACAACAACAATAATTGGAATATCCTTCAAAGTAAGAACAAGGAATATTCTTTCTTTCTTAGGAGAATATAACAAATCCGAAGTTATTACTTTCTTACCAAGAATCATAATCAATATTCACAACTTAATATGGAACTTTGCAGTTTACACTAAGTTTAGTATCTTAAACAGTTGAACTATGAAGATGAAGTATTGTTATTGCTCTAAAGTTCAAATCAACCATATGTAATGTATGATGAGGTTATAAGAATTCATGCTCGCAACATGATATCCAATATCAACATGTTCCAAAATTACTATCAGTAGTCCATTAAACGCACAATTAACACAAAGGAACATATTTTGACACTCGCAACAATATCTAGATCCACATTAAAAGTTATTTTGTGCTCTTAAACTCTAAAAGTCTTGAAAAACAAAATTTCAGTATTTTAGAACTTCAGTTAGATCACAAAACCAATTATACACTACAAGCAATTAATAATGTCAATTATACAATCACCAATTTGGAACTAGATCACTAATAAAATTCATGGAACATAATGGAAGGATCTAACTACTGCCAAATACAAATTCCACACTCACTTTCAAATTCAAGGAAGGAACTAATCAGAATCATCATTTGCACCATCTTCTAGGTGGATAAAATAGTTGGCTTGCTCTATCTCGTGATTTACTAGAAATCCGCAAAACAGAGGAGAAAATATGGAAGAGGGTTGAGAGAAAACTAAGGCAAGGATCTTGTTGCAACAAAGTCAAATAATCACCAAAGCTGCAAAACAGAGGAGCGGGTCAAGAGGGAGCACTAAGTTGAAGGAGAGAGTAAACTCTCAATAGCCTGCCAAAAAACCACCCGAAGTGTGATGGGTTTGCCGGATAGTGGGTTGAGAGGCAAGAGTCAAGAGATAAGGTTTAAAACTTCAAACAGTAAAATCACAAAAACAAAGGTTAAAATTCTATTATATCCCTCTTAATATGCGCATGGGACACCAATTACACAAGAAGAATATTGGATTTTCCCTTCCTTCACCAATTACACCGCGATTTGGTCCGTGATTGCAGCCGCTACTGCAAATAGTTGTGTTGAATAGCGTAAATCACGGCGCAACGGGGGGCTACATGCACCTATAGCTATAACAAGATTGTGCGCAATAGTGCCGTTATTAATAACTATGTACACAATGCAAGTTAAAATGCACCTTTTTTTTTTAATTTCAATGCAACATCAAATCAGCTAGTAATCTAGTATTATAAAAGATTCTCCCGAAACAACCAGAAGTGTAAAGGTCAGAATAGATAGCCGGCTTGATAACAATAAGACAACATGTGCCAGGGTGTTAATTCCGAAATTCCAGCTTTCCACCTCTGAACTATATCACATGGTTTCCACTTCAGTTTATTCCTATGATGCTAATTGACCTAATCCACATAATAGTCATTTTTTCCACTTTTTGATTACCAAGTACCAAAGAGAATGGGAGCTTGGCGCAACAATTGGAATTGGCACCATGTAACCCAGATGCCATAGGTTCAAGTCGTGGGATCACCCTCTTGCAACTGCAAGGTAAGGTTGTCTACTATAGACTCACACAGTGAGTCCAACCCTTCCCTAAACCCCATGAATTGCAGGAGCTTCATGATAAGTCTTTGTTTAAAGACTTGTTCATTGCTAATTATAACTCAATCTTAGTTTTGGTTTAAATTTTCATTGGGCTGTTCATTTACTGTGTATTTTTATTTTAGGTTCTTAAAGCCCAAAAAGGTTGAGATGCATAGGAGTAGTAATAAAAAAAAGCAAAGAGATTAAAAAAGAGGAAGCCAACAAAAGCTCTGAAGCCCCAGTGAACAAAAGTACAATCCATCTCAGCACTGCACTTAAAGGCAAGACAGGAATTGAGGAAAGAAGCTTGGTGTAAAAACGTATAGAGGAAGCCAATTGCTGATAGAAAAAAATAACTAACCTATGTGACTCACTTCTGTCCAAGTGAAAGCAAGCCAAACCCTAACCTCTTTCCATTCTAGATCAGCCCTTCGAACCACAAATCAAACCGCGCCCCAATCTTGATTTTGTTGAGTCAGTGAGCAATTAAGCCACACCCAACCAGTTCCCCTTTTATTTTGTTAATCATTGAGCCTCTTGACCATCTTTTATAACATTTTTACCCAAACAGTCCACATAACCCACAAATCAAGCCAATCCTCTCACACAAGGAAGAATCTCTTTTTATTTTGCAAATCTGAGGCAGTTATGGGCTGATGCTGGAAGCGAGCGTGGAGTGGAAAGGTTCACATGCGTTGATTGATCTCATCGTGAGAGAGGAGCCACGTGGAAGATGATCCAAGGGTTTTTAGAGCTATTGCATGCAGAGGAGCTAATATAAAAGAAGCACAGGACCTCTCTTCTACCTCTGGTTCTTCCTCCTGCTTCTTGGTTGATATTTCTTTAGAGTCTATTTTTATTTTTAGTTTTACAATAGCATTTGATTTTAGTTTTAAATTGTTATTTTCCTTTTGTTTCATTTCTGTTTTGAGCTCAACTCTTATAGGTATGAGCTGGTCCTTTTAGAGGTTGGGTTTAGGTGATACCCAAACCTCAGTGCTTGGATGAATATTTGGTTTTCTGGATTTTAATGTTTTATCCAGTTGTTTAATGCTATTTTTGTTGTTTAAATTTTCTGCAGTCCGGCCGGATGTTAGAAGTTTATTTAGGAATTAGTTGTTGAGAAAAACTCATTCTGGACTCTGCATTAAGCTCATGGGCTTGAATGAGAGATCATTCAAGGGATCTCACTTCAGACATGAATGAGTCCTCCATGTAACATTGGACCTGCGTCTCAAGAGTCCTAATCCCATTTGGCATAGAGATATGTAAGTGGTTGATTTTGGACAAAATAATTTTTAAGAGATTAGAAATTAACAAGTGAGTTTCGTTAATTGGGAATTTTTGGATGAACAACTTGTTAATCAAATCATTCTTTCCAGCACTGTGGGGAAGGAGAACCGAAAACCCAACCCATTTTTCTAAACATTTTTACCAACTCATTTTCTTTTCTCTGTTTTAGCATTTGATTGTTTTTTCTCTAAAAGTTGTTTACATCAAAAACAAAAACAAAACACTTCTTCAATTGATTTCTTATTGCTTTCCATCTTTAAGAACAATTGAATCCAAAATTAATTCAGAAAAGTATAAAAATAAAATAATAACATAGTCATTGCTATTTCAGATTAATCTTGTGATTATTTTATTTTCATTTTCTCTCTTTTTAGATTAGATTCAGTTTTAGCAATTATCAATTTTAGTCAAGTTAAAAACGCCAAAGATCCTTGTGAGAAGGATAATTGGGATCTGAAATACGCCCTATATTACTTGTGGCTGCGTATACTTGCGCATACCTTGTATACTCTTTAGCAAGGCCAACACTTCACAAAGCCACTAAGAACTTATCAATTTCATTTAATTACTTGACAACCTAGAAATTAACCATTATTAAAGAGCTTATCAGCATTCACTGAATTACTTGACAGCCAAGCCGTTCACACACTGTTAAGCTCTAAATGCTACAATCAAAACAGGAGAGAGAGACTTACATTTCTTTCGTACCAAAAAATTGAACAAAAAATTTCTTCGGATCAGGGGGTTTCTCCCAATCTTCAGGCCTGCTTATCTGAGAATAAAGAAATAACAAAATCAATATCCCGAGCATCAATTAAAAGCCTAAAATTCAACCTCAATAACTAGTTAGTTAACCATCTACATCTAGCATTGCAGAAAGATCACTAAAAAAAGAAAGAGATGGAGCACAAAAGTAACGCTCCTATGAATTAAAACAACGAAAAATATTCAGAGATCAATCAAGTTATCAAAAAAAAGCCTAACAAAGTTCACTTTAAGAGCCAGTGCACCCACTTATAAAGAAAAGAAAATTCCTAGGAAGAATGCAAAATCCCTCACATGCACAATTCCACAAACTCAGCAAAGAAATTACTCGAAAAGCTACACGTATGACGTATCCATTCACACGACTTAACAAAGACGTCACCGAATCAAACAGCTCCATAACACACAATGATTTGAAAAATATCAATAACATTAGAAACAAACAAAACAACAAAAAGTTTGATGAAGGAAACCGCACCTTGGCAGGCCAAGCCGGGAAGCCCTTAACCTTGGCGAGGACGAGATCGCCCAAACTCAAGTGGCCATTGGCCTTGGCCTTGTTGGCTCCGCGTCGGCGCGTCGGAGCCATGACGGCGGTGATACCACAGATAATGTACTGAAATCAAAACGACGGCGTATTGAACGATCAGAAAACCCTAGAAAAATCTCAGGAACCTCCGTGGGATCTCCGGGAAGGAATCTCCGGCGGAAGCGGCTAGAGCGGAGGCGGTGGCGGTGAAAGCGGGGTCAGCATTGACAATGGCGTAGAGAGAATCTGAGAGTGGACGAATCGTTGAGGCGGTGGAATGAAAGAGAGAGAGAGAGAGAGAGAGAGAATGGTAGATTATGGTGGGAACCTGGCTGGGTGGGTTTGGAACGAAGGACTATAGTATGGTATGGTATGGTGATGGACGTAATGGGAATTTTCAATTTCTTAATTCTTTTTGTTTTGATTTAGCCACTGTCAATAAACAAACGGACTACTGCTCTTAGCTTGGTTGCATGTAATATTATCAAAATTGAGTTTCTGCCTAGAAATAAAAGATGGTAAAAATGTAAATTACAAAAACGACACGAAACATGATATTTTCACTACTTAAAGTTAAGATATAAACTTTTATATATATATATATATATATAGGGACATGATCATTTGACACCAATATTAAATTTTGAAATTTAATACCAAATCTTAACCGTTGGTTTCTGTCAATCAACGGTTATCATTTATTGGAAATCAAACTTATTAACTAATTATTATTGAAAATCAACGACTAGGATTTAGTGTCAAATTTCAAAGTTTGACACAGGTGTCAAAGGATCCAGACCTGTAAACAAATAAATATATATATCACATAAGTAACTACTCAAAATTCAATGAACAACTTCATATTTAAAATATATAAGCAACATAATTTATATAAGACATAAGTCTAAAAACACAAAAAGAGTTTAAGAACTCTACAACCAAGTTCAAAAACATAAAAGGAATAAAGGTTAACAACTCCTAAGTTGTATCAATTGATTCAAATCAAACAGATCATCTTGCATCAGTTGGCTTTTTGACCTTTATAACCCTTTATTAATAATTAATTACCAAATTGACCTTCATTATAAACTATTTCGAAAATTTAACCCCCTCAAAAAACATAACACCAATCTGCCCATGTTTGACCGTTGACCACCAAGCCTACCCGGGTACACCCCTCCTTACCCGGGTATTTTTTGAAATTTTTTGCCTACCCGAGTAGGTAGGGGTGTACCCGGGTATTGTTCTTGACATATGAGAAATTACTTGAATTATTTACCCGGGTAAATCTCCACATCAGAAAATTTAGAATGGTGTAATGATGCACAATCCAAGCTCAGCCTCAAGCCACAGATGCAATGTGGACAATCAAATCAACAACACAGGTGCTGCAAACAAAGAAACAAAATGTCCTCATTACCAGTAAAACTCTGTAAAGTAACAACAAAGGATTAAGGGAAAAAAATTTCCTCATCCTATTCAAGACCTGTTTAAGACAGCAAGGTTTAGGGAAGTTACCTGTAACCCCGTTCGTTGTCATACCACGAAACAAGTTTCACGAAGTTGTCACAAATTCAACATTCAATGGTGACAAAGAACAAAAGCTTTGGAATAGAATTTCCACCATTTAATCAAATGTTGTATCAATTTATATATATAATAGGTACCTTAGCAGCTCCAGTGCTGCTAGGAATTATGTTGAAGATGTGGAGATTTACCCGGGTACACCCTTACCTACCCGGGTAAATAATTCAAGCAATTTCTCAGATGCCAAGAACAATACCCGAGTACACCCCTACTTACTCGGGTAAGCAAAAAATTTCAAAAAATACCCGGGTAGGGAGGGGTGTACCCGGGTAGGCTTGGTGGTCAACGGTCAAACAGGGGCAGATTGGTGTTATGTTTTTTGAGGGGGTTAAATTTTTGAAATAGTTTATAATGAAGGTCAATTTGGTAATTAATTATTAATAAAGGGTTAGAAGGGTAAAAAAGCCTGCATCAGTTGCATGTCCTCTTCTCTTACTCTTGTAATGAGTTCATTTGCAAAAAAAAAAAAAAAAAATTGATTCAAAACTCACCCCAGCTTGGTACTCAAACTTTTTAGCAATGGCTCCACCCTCTTCTTTCTCTACAACAGCGACCTCACGCAAGAATATTTTTTTTCCAGATAGCTAGAAGAAGATATTGTGCATTTTGATTTGGGAAAAATGAAAATAAGTTTTTTTTTTTTTAAAAAGGGTATTGGTTAAAAGTTGATCCTGTTCAGTTTTTTTATTTTTTTCGTATAAGACCCAATTTAGATTTTGGTTTAAGTAAAAATATAGAAACATGTGTTTCTACCATTTTTTACGCTTTTATACGACATTTTAATTAAGGAGAGTTTTTACTTGCGTATTAACACGTACCACTTCAGTAATAACATAAGCTTTTACGTTTTTACACTAGTTTTTTTGACAATAATGGTTCAATATAATAAATCTAGTCTTTTATGTAGGACATAATTTTATCTTATACATTAAAAAATAAAATTATTCTTTGAAAAATTTGTTGATGTGTCACCCTCTCCTTTAAAATCCACTTTCTGTTCACATTTGCTACTATTTCAATATTTCCTATTTTAGTAATTGTTCAAAATTGAATTTTAAACTTAATGGGTAGGAAAAGAGTTCAACATTATTTGGTTGGCAAACAGTTGTATTCTTCAATTTCTCTCATTTTGCTATAAAATATAAAATTTCACTACTTTCTTTATGGAAAATTGTTAAGCCAATTAATAATATTTATTATTATGTCCATTGGGCTTAATTATTATACGTATTAGGATTAATTAATTTCGTTGCTCAAAAAATAAACCAAACATTATTTTTTTAGAAGCTTTAAAAATAAATTTTAATACAAAAAAATGAGTCTAAAAACGAAATTAGTTCATGTAAAACTAGGATATGTGTTACTGCATTATCTAATATATCATTCGTTATATACTCAATATATGATTTTATAAAGGATCTTAATCCTACTAAGGAGAAATGAAGAATTAAGGTTAGGGTGGTTAGGACTTAGAAGGTTCATAATCTTTAGTTTAAAGATTTTGATGACAATGTGGAGATAGTTCTATTAGATAAACAGGTAATACTTTGAGTTAATTTTTGGCAGCTATGTTGTGATATGATTTGATTTTCTTTAACATACTATGTGTTTTGTAGGGTGGAAGAGTCCATACTACTGTGAAAGGTTCTTTATAGGTCCGGAAAAAAATTTGTGAAGATTATGTCTATTTTATAAAAAAAAATTGGAGTTGGATTAAATAGTAATAATTTTAGACCAACTAGGCATGATTATCGTCTATCTTTCAACTCGAGGACAGATGTTAAATCGATTGTTGATGCTATTATTCCTGCCAATGGATTCGATTTTGTTGATTTTGACATTATTGAGAAAAATCACCTGACTCTCCTTATTTAGTAGGTAATATATTTTGTCTTTGATATTATTCATATCTTTATTGTGTTGATAAGATATATGTCCAACTTCTTTGTTATGTAGACGTTATCGGTTTACTGTCAGGAATTGGGGAAGTTCGTGAGCATGTTGTCTCTGGTAGGAAAACAAAAATGGATGTGTTAGAGCTTGATAACCTCAAGTATTTATGTTATATTGCTATGAAATATAGATTGATTATTGGTTAAATGTGGTTTTAATATATAACATGATTTCTTACAACCATTGTGAAAATAGGGGTCACAAGCTTGAGTGCACTTTGTGGGAGCATTATGTAGATAAAGTGCAAACTTTCTTGGCAAATAATTAGTCTCCTATGAATTTGATATTTGTTTTTGGGTATTTTTTCTGATATTTGTTTCTCATTTTATGCTTCTATTTGAGTATGTTTCGTTTCTTAACTTCCTTAGACTTTGTTTGTTTATCTGTATCTCCATCTCTTATGTTTTCTTAATTCTATAGGTAAAATAAGAATAAGAAATACAAAGTATATGACAAGGTTACATGAGGAAACTGCATTTTCCAATACTTATTTTCTAACAACTATGCTACAGACAACAAATTGCATTTGAGCTATGGAACATAAAGAACACCATGAACTGTCAGATCTGAATTTAAACAAATTGAGCCCTCTTTTGTATCTTAGGTTCGGGTTCCATTAGGAAAAGCAACAAGAAACAGAGAGATATAATGAATATCAAACAGTAACTCCAAACTACCAGTCATATGTTCAGACGCTCCACTATCAATAAGCCAAACTAGGCCATGTAAATTATTACCAAACAAAGAGGCATTCTATGTATGTCGCTGCTCCTCCAATGTAAGGAGACATTGGACTATATTAGGAGTCAAGGCCAAATGTGTTACTAGAACAGCAAAATTGGAATTGTAACTTTGGACTGCATGAGCTTGCCCAGAACGACCTCTTACTCCTTGCCAGCCTTCATGTCCACGTCCACGTCCACTTGGTCAATGCAATACCTTAAGCTCCTTGGAAGACCACAAAATTGTCACTTTCTCTATAGATTTTCTCACTACACAAGGCACCAAAGTGGATTCTAGGTCTAGGGTTATGTTAACTCAAGGTTCGTAGTTGTTATGGACCCATATAATGGGCCCATTAAGTGGTAAGCCTAACAAGAGGCAATCTAAGATACTGATTGATATTAACAAAGGATAGATATCCATCAAGGATACTAATCCTAATACGACAGCATAGCAAACAGGCCTGGACCCTCGCCAGAGGCACCAAAGGCCCATGCGCACTACCCACAGGTAACCTTTATGAATACAAGGTAAACCCTAAAGGTACGTTACGCTCTCTCTCTTACTGTTATGCTGTTACTATGCGCACACACACACCACATTGGCCAACGCCGTTATAGTATTCTGTGCACAGTGATCTGCTTGACTCAAGGGTATCTCATTCATAGATACCTTGGAGAAGGCACTAGATCCAAGATAAACGCACCAGCCTATTGGGTTGGACATCTCTGTCTCAAGGAAAGAACATTGGCACCGTCTGTGGGGATTCGTCTTCATTGAATTGGAAGTCCCCACTA